AAAAAAAAAAAACTATCATAGCAGCAACTCCCAGTACAGTTAATAACTATGGGTTTGACTGCTCTGTGGCTTATTCTTTTCAACTACAGAGTGGGATGAATCATTTCTTACTGAATATATTGGCTGATCATGTATAAAATGCCCTTAGATCTTATAAAAGGGATTAGATAGCTAAATGCTGCAGTATTACTAAGTCTACAATATGCCCGAAAGCTAAATAATGTTTTTAAAGCATTTCTTCACGCCATGGCACATGGAACTTAAGGCTTTTTAAAGTCATATATTTTAAGGTAACCCTCAAACAGTTCCATTTCAAAAATGAACATAAAACAGCTTGTTATATAAGAAGCCAATGAAGCCAGGAGCACTGTCTATTTAAATAACATCATCACATTCTTTCATCATTCATGAACAAGGTCATAATTTTCTAATGGTAACCGTGTTGTCTGTATGTCCTTGTGGTTCTCTGACCATTTCATGTTGGCATCTGCTGTGCTGCGGACATTTAATTTAAAATATTTTCTTTGGTTTGCCAATTTTTATTTTTCCGCAAGAACAACATTTTAATTTTTTATGCTTTTCTGTTTTTTCCCCCTTTCATTTTCACAGAAAAAGAGAGAAAGACTAGATGGTGAAAACATTTATATCAGACATAGCAATTTAATGTTGGAGGTTTGTATGAACTTGAAGCTTATTTCAGTTGGTTGCCTGAAACCTTCTGCATTCTTTGCTGGTCCCCTTTTCTTCATTCTTCGCTGCATTTGGTTTTGCATGCCACTGCATGAGAGAATTTCAGGTTTAAAATGCTTCTGCATGTTGGTAAGATGAAGAGGCGCAATCATTTCTTCTTTTGATTCCTTTTAGTTTTCATTTCTCATACTTATCTGAAAAAATATATGATTGGGCCTACCTCTACCTCTCATGGTTCCGTTGTTTTACCCACTTTTAGAAAGTTCTATATCACTGCTAAAAGTTCCGTGAATTTTCTAAGCGTGCAAACTTCTATATGTCCCAAGATGCAAATTTGCACTATTCTTTCATTTTTTGAACTGGGAGAGTGTGGAAAATTAGGGGAAATGATCACAATGCTGAATGGATTTAAAATATTAGAGATAAGAAAAAATTACCGAAAATGGTCAGAGGGTAAAAGGCAATATAGAAGAAGGAAAGAGGGAAGCCTAGCATTTAGTGAGTAGTTACTACATTACGAGATACCTGATCATAGAAATAGGCCTGTGAGTATGAGACTATTATGTTAAAAATGAGAAAATTGAAGCTTAGAGAAATTATGTAATTTCCTAATGGTCACAGAGCTGATAAATTGGTAAAGCTAGGATTGAGTTAGGGTCTCTTTGACTCTTAGGAACTATATTATTTTCCATTCAGAAATAGCAATATACTTATAGGAATTGTAAGGTTAATTTTCCACTATGTTTGACATGGGTCAGATTTTTACCAGACCTATATTAGTACACGTCATCTATTTTAGAGCTCCACATTAGAAAGGGAAATATAGAACTAATCAGAAGATTAGGGAACTCTGTGAAGAAAAATTAAGGAAACTGGAATTATTCTGTATGGAAAAAATTGATGCCAAGTTAGTTTACACGGCAGAAAAATTCATATACTGTATAGAGGCTGGTGACCAGATTATCTTACAGCTTTACTCCAAAAGAAATCTATATAAACTCTTAGATCAGGGATTTAATTTAAATATAAAGGAAATATAAATATATGGAAAAATTATAAATGATTCCCACCTTTGGGGAGCTTATAAAATGATTGTACATTATTATACACTATAATTTCTTTCTTTCTTTCTTTTTTTTT